CCCCACACGCATTCATTTCAGCATATTTATATAATGCATTTGCTTTGATGGGCGTTTGTATATGTATACAATTTGTTTCTATTAGATGTTTTTTTATTTTACTTTTGAATTTCAGGTTCATTAGAAGAATTTTTGGCTGTTGCAGTTGATGCAGCTAAGAGAGCTGGAGAGGTTAATCAAATTAAATGAAGCCCATTTGATCTTTTTCTTTTTAATCTTTTTCAAAGTTTCCAAATTGTTATCGTCCCCTTTATCAAATTTTCAGCCATTTTTTAAAGTCGTATTTTTGACTTTGTTTTCTTGATTCTTTGTGTTAAATTTCTGGGTTTTGCAGATAATACGCAAAGGATTTTACGAGACTAAGATTGTGGTGCACAAAGGCCAGGTAGCTTTTTTATCTCTTTATGAGCATTTGTGTGTATATATACTTAACTTTTTACTTCCTCTTTTGTTTATTTTCACCGGTAAGAAGCTCTGAGTTATGTGAAAATTTTCTTTGATCTCAATTTTAATGATGTATAAGTAAAAGAATATAAGGCATGCGAAGAACATAACTCAAGTCATCATAAACCAAAACCATTATTTGATAGAGTTTAGAGCTTTATAATTCTTACATATTGAAATTTGTTTCGTAGAAAAAAAAAAAACTAAGTACCTGAATACATATGGCTTTCAGGAGTTACATCTTAAATTAGATCTATATATATTAGCAGTGACGAAGCCACAAGGTTATAAGGGTTCGTCGAAAAATTGCACAGTGTATATAAGTAAAATATTACGTTTTAGAGGTATATAATACATATTGAATACCCTTTGTCGGAATTCTTTTTAAACTTCTTTGAAATTTGAATACCTTTGGGTAAATTGTTAGCTTCGCCACTGTATACTGCTCGTTCTATACAGTTGTGCTAATTGTTACGAAGTTGATGAATTGTCTTTGTGATGGCTATGTAAGAAATGTAAATAGCTTATGTTATTTTTGTCCTTGCTATGAGTAGAGTTAATCATATTTCTTTCAATTTTTACATCAGGGAAAACATAGTAATGTTTACTATTACAATATAAATGTCTACATCTTCACTTTACAAAATATTTATGTTATTTGAATTAGTTTTACATTTGATATATGATATTACACTATCGCAATTGCATCTCTACCTTAAAAACCTAACTTCTTTTCCATGAGTGTAATGGCTTGTGAAGGAGATGATTATAAATATGTCCACAAAGACTTGAGTCTTGACACAAGCATTGTTGAACCAACTCACGATAAGTTCTTCATCAAAATTGAAGTTGAATTTTTGAGGAAACAGGAACAACAAGAAGAAGATGATGATAAACCCGATTACCTCCACTTAGAGAGCAGTACTGAAACAAATTTTATAATGCGAGTGTCTGCACATAGACAACCAAGGATTTTAGGTCAAATATGTTCTTTTGTTGATAGGATTGCCAATGAATCTTATAACATGAACAAGAAGATACTCCCGGTGAATGTTTATATTAGCATTCCTGTTGCTCTACAGAAGAAAGTAATGACTTTTTACTTGAAGAAAGTAATGACTTTTTAGCACTCCTAATGAATGTTTATATGCGTCGCATATGGTAAAAAGTCATTACTTTCTTCTACAGAGCAACAGGAATGCTAATATAAACATTCATCGGGAGTATCTTCTTATTCATGTTATAAGATTCATTGGCAATCCTATCAACAAAAGAACATACATGACCTAACTTCCTTGGTTGTCTATGTGCAGACACTCACATTATATGCAACATTCTTGCAGTTGTACGCCTCAATAAATTGTTGCGTGACAATCGAGACCGCACCTTAAAAGTTTTTGTTTCAGTACTGCTCTCTAAGTGGAGGTAATCGGGTTCATCATCATCTTCTTCTTCTTGTTCCTGTTTCCTCAAAAATTCAACTTCAATTTTGATGAAGAATTGATTGTGAGTTGGTTCAACGATGCTCTTGTCAAGACTCAAATCTTCGTGGACATAAATATAATTATCTCCTTCACAATCCACTATACTAATGGAAAAGAAGTTAGGTTTTTAAGGTAGAGATGTAGTTGCGATAGTGTAATATCTAATATCAAATGTGAGACTAATACATAAATATTTTGTAAAGTGAAGATGTAGACATTCATATTGTAATACTAAACATTAATATGTATTCTGTATGTAAATTGAAAGAAATATGATTAACTCTACTCATAGTAAGAACAAAAATAACATAAGCTATTTACAACTCTTACATAACCATTACAAAGACAACTCATCAATTTCGTAACAATTAGCACAACCATATAGAACGACCAATTGTGGCGAAACTAGGAATTTACCCAAGGGTATTTAAATTTGAAAGAAGTGAAAAAAAAATTCCAACAAAGAGTAATCAATATGTGTTATATACCCTTTTCGACGAGAAGTGGTCAACTGACCATCGTATAACCATGTGGCTTCGCCACTACCAATATATATAGATCTAATTTAATGATGTAACTCTTGAAAGCCAGATGTATTCAGGTACTTAGTTTTTTTCTTCTATGAAACAAATTTCAATATGTAAGAATTATAAAGCTCTAAACCCTATCAAATAATGGTTTTGGTTTATGATGACTTGAGTTATGTTCTTCGCATGTCCTATATTCTTTTACTTATACATCATTAAACTTGAGATCAAAGAAAATTTTCACATGACTCATAGCTTCTTACTGGTAAAAATAAACAAAAGAGGAAGTAAAAAGTTAAGTCCACTAATGGACGTGGTAATTAGCCTAATATTGGAATCAATAATTTCTAGTTACAACAAAGGAAATATAAAAGGTTCCACTATTTATTTCTATTGAAAACTCATAAGGATTGTTTCATCGTTAAAATTTTTATTATCAAAGACATTCAGCTTCACCAAAAATATAGAAGAAGAAGAAGAAGAACAACTATAGAATTAACTGACACTCATAAAAGATAACATACAAGGAAAAAGCTATACATGATATATGCCAAACAAAAAGAATATTTTCTTACGGAACACAGAAATTTTCCAATTGACAATGATTTGATGGAGAGAAGAATTGCTTAATACATTTTAATAGTCCACTTTTATAAAGTGAGAAAGGAAGAGAAAAGGCAGAATGCATGAATCTGTATTAATTGTTGAAAGTTAAAAGGAACAAATATTGAATGGATATTCTAAAATCTAAATGTTGAGATAGTTACATTGCTATTAACGGAAGATGAAAGTAACACTAAGGATTTGAATAGGCTATAGCAAGTGGGTACAAATTTATTATTCATTGCGAAGGCGAATTTATGTTTTGGTACAAGAATACCATAGGATTAGTGTTTAAGTGATGGGTAAAATGGTCTTTCAACCGATGTCAAATAGTCGAGTTACCTCCCGGATTAAACCGATGTCAAATAGTCGAGTTACCTCTTCTTTGACAAACTTGTTTCCGACCTCGGCTATCGGGCACTTTTTGTACCTTATCGGTGAGATACTTGGGTCCAGGCTTAGCTTGTGCACGACCACCTCTACCGGGATACCTGTCATATCCGCTTGTGATCATGCGAAATAATCAACGTTAATTTTAAGAAATCAATAAATCCTGACCTGAGCTCGGGGTTGAGGCTTGTCCCCGAGTGGAATTTTCTCTCCAGGAATTTTTCGAACAAGGCCACTTGTTCGAGTTCTTCCACCGTGGATTTGGTCGCGTCTGTCTCTTCGGTACCTGAAAATATCTTGGTACCTGGTGGGGATCCGACGACTCCTCTCCTTTGCCATCTTCACTTGGCTCGAGAGCAGGCGTCGGTTCCTATAATTGCAGCGTTGAGTTACTTCCCTCTAGAGCTGGAAACCGATACCGCCTTCATTTCCCTTGCTGCTGGTTGATCCCCTCTTATTTGTTTGATTCCCTCTGGGGTCGGGAATTTCAGCATTTGGTGATATGTTGATGGCACAGCTTTCATCTCATGTAGCCATGATCTGCCAAGAATTATGTTGTAGCCCATGTCGTCGTCCACTACTTCAAATAAGGTAGTTTTAATGACCCCTTTGGCGTTCATAGGTAGCAAGATCTCCCTCGGGTTGTCACACTTGCTAAGTTGAACACGACAAGGAGTTTTGTTGCCGGAATGATGCTTCCGATTAGCTTGGCTTGTTCCAACACTCTCCATTGAATGATGTTGGCTGAACTTCCTAGGTCAACCAAAACACGTTTAATCTTGAAATCTAAAACGTTAAGAGAAATTACCAGGGAATTGTTGTGCGACAGTAGAAGTCCATCGGTGTCTTCTTTATTAAAGGTTATGTCGTCCTCGGCGACTTTCTAGAGCCTCTTGCTATGGTCACCGATACCTTTGTCTTTTTTGCTGCCGAGAAGGTTTCACCGTTGATCTCATTCCCCCCAAAAATCATGTTGATAGTTAGTCAGGGAGGGTCTTCCCCTACCTTCGAGGGCTCTGCATTATCGCGACTGCAGCCGTAATTGTTCTTAGCCTGGTTGCTTAAGAATTCCCTTAGATTGTCGTTTTTCAATAGCGTTGCTACCTCTTTGCGCAGATGTCGGTAGTCCCCAGTCTGGTGGTCATTAGTCCCATGATATTCGCACCATAAATTAGGACCTCTCTGGCTGGAATCAGACCTTATTAGCCTCGGGAACCGCGCTTCCTTGATGTTTCTCATTGCCGATACTAGCTCCACTATGTTGACATTGAAATTATACTCCGACACCTTGGGATAAGTGGAATCCCGGGAACCCGATACCTATTTGTCTTGCAATGACCTGTTATTCCAGTCGCGGTCAGTTCTTCTATGAGCGAACCTATCCCCTGAACGGAACCCTCTGTTCCTGCGTCCTTTGGCCCTTTCGTGGGGCAAAAATCGACCCTTATAAGATTGCCGATTTGTATCAAAATCATCCTTTGATTTATCCTTATTCTTTCTCGATCCCGACCCTTAGTTGATGCCGGGAACCCGAGCTGATCATCTTCTATCGTTATCTTTGATTCATGACGGTTATGGACATCCGCCCATGTAGTTGCCTGGAACTCGAACAGGCTTTCTTTCAGTTTCCGGAAGGCATCGGAGCTCCTCGGGTTCAACCCATTAGTAAATGCCTCGGGTGCTTATTCATCTGGCACGGCCGGTAACAGCATCCTTTCTTTCTGAAACCTGATCACGAATTCACGTAGCAACTCGGACTCTTCTTGCGAAATTCTGAATATGTCCGCCTTTCGGGCTCGGACCTTCCTGGCCCCGGCATAGGCCATGATGAAAGAATCTGCGAGCATCTCAAAGGAATCTATTGAGCGTTCGGGTAAGAGTAGGTACCATGTCAAGACCCCCTTCGTGAGGTTTCTCGGAACTTCTTCAGTATGCCCGACTCAATCTCATGTTGAGCCAAGTCGTTTTCTTTCACCGCCGTTATATAGGTGGTGATATGCTCCTGGGGTTTGAAGTCCCATCATATTTCGGTACGTCTGGCATTTTGAACCGCTTCGGAACCAACTCTGGTGCTGCGCTCGGCTTGAACGGCAACTGGTGTACTTCTTCGAGTCCGGGCCCTCCAGCGTTGGTGGTGCGCCCGGAATTTGGTCCATTCAAGTATGGAACTCTTTGGAAATTCTGATCCATCCGCTCGTTCATTTCTCTCATGAATCTCATGAGTACGGTTTTGAAGGGATCATTGCCGTTGTCGTTACCGGATCCGCTGCCGATCCCCACGGCTCCGTCGAAGCCGACCTCTCCCCTCGGGGTGTTGTTATCAACCCTTTGCGCTGTTTGATTTGCGGGAGCACCAGGAGGAACAACGCTTGCCTCAGTTCTGTCATGACATGGTCTTGCCTTGAAAGATGGCTCATGATGGCCTTTTGTTGTTCCCTCAAGATCCTTAACGTGCGTGTCCCCCATCAATGAGTAAATAATTTAAAAGATTATACAAATATTATTGACTAATATATTTGAGTTATAAAATAAAAATTAAAAAAAGTAAGTTTTATGAATGATGATCCTATTAGTTACTTCAATAAAGAAAGAAATTTTGCCCCATATACGTGCCTTACTGCAATTTCAGTGTATAGGTCATGTATTCTTGTTTTTTTAGGGGGAAAAATGCAAATAGAATATCATTACTATATTCTCACCAATGGTGCTTTATATTTTGGGGAAATGAATAATCCTTCTACCTTCTGTATTAGATGGAGAAACTGAAGTAAATGACAAGCTTCGTTTGTCAAAGTAAGAGTAAGTCATTTTGTTGTCATAGCTATACAAAGAACAAATACCATTGTTGTTGCATATGTTGTTAGTACGCGTCAGAACTTAACCTAGAATATAACTATTAATTTTGATAAGAATTCAAGCCTGTAGAATTCATGATGGATGACAAAAGTGCAAATTGAAGTAGGGTTCAAAATCAAGAAATTTAATGAAATCTAAAAGACACTTTATAATAATATAGAAAATATTACTTATCCTGAATAGGTGGTCAGGTTCTTGACCGAAAATTAATCTTGATTCATTTTGCTCCTCTTAGGTCCTTGTTTAAGCAAGAAGATTTAGCATGGTACAAGGCGGAGAGTTAGAAAATTCACTTTCTTGTGATTGTTTATTTTACTCCAATTAATGCCATCGGTTTATGGCTACAATAGAAGAAAAATAAAGTAACAAAGAGATCAATACTTTCTGCTGAAAACAGTAAGAATCATTTCCAAAACCAAATATGCATAGACAACAATATCGAATTTCGTAGATATAGATACAAAAATATATTCAAATAGAGGAGCAGATATAAAATAAGCAAGACACTTATAAAAAGTGCATTAACAAAGAAGATAAAAATTTACCTGCGAAGATTGATTGTGTGTGCCTCTCGTGGACGAATATTGACTAAGGCCAGTAACCAGTAGCTAATGACGAACATGTATAATAAATCATAAGAATAATGCTAGTACCGGAAAGCAATATTTCATAATTAACCTCATATTTTCTATAATTCAAGATGACCAACTACAAAAAATAATCTTATCAAAAAAATATTTTCACATAAATAGTGTCTTCCATACCAACAGGGAAAAGGAAACCAAGTGAACATTTGGGAGGGAAAACAAAAGAAAACAGTGGAGGAAACGGAAAATAAACAAAAGAAAAAAAGACTAAATCGTTCTACACCACTATCAAAATTCACTACCTACTCTTGATGTTTGAACAACTTGGTTTATAGTTTCTGCACTCTAGATAATGGACAATCCACAGAAAAGTTTTGTGCAGCAACTGTACCTATAAATCAAGAAGAACATCTAAAAATTAGTTAGAATCTCGAAAGTCACATTGGAGAAAACATAAAGGTCTAAAGGAGAGTATGAGAAGGTGACAATGGCAATTATAAAAGGCCAAATTGGAAGAAAGGATATACGTAAGAATTTCATAAGTTTTTTCTTTGGAAAATGAAAAGGTTCTGAATGCATGTATCAGAATAATTGCTTAATATTTCTAGATAAGTTTTAAAATTTAAAATGGTGTAATATACGTTTTTGTACATTTATATTGAAGGAAGCAAATAAAATGTTACTTTTAGGTAGAGGGTAAATCAGTCACTTAGTTTTTGAAGGACACTTTAGTAAAATAATATCACCTAAAAGTCTTCACACTTATAATATAGTATGATGATATATATATGTGTGTGTGTGTTTTGGCTCATGAACATTTTTCATTTGTATTCTTGTTTATTTAATTAGTTTTAAATAAGTATTTCGACCAATTCATAGTTTTTCTAAGTATGAATTGTGCTTCAGTGTGCACAATTCATTTGGCAGGATTGATAATTGTTTTCCATAACAAATATCCTCAGCAAAATGTTTACCTAGAAAATCATTTTTTGGATTATTATACATATTAATAATTAGTATTTTGGGTAGTATAAGCTATAATGGGAGCCATTTTTGTGATATGTTTGAGTATTAGAAGTGATATCATTGTCCAAGTATTGGTTGAAGCAAGTGATGTAGAATTAGAGTTGGAATATTTGGGAAGGAAAATGACTTCTGTCTATAAGCGAGGGAGATCGTTTCCTCCTTTTGGCACGAGATCAATTTTCAGAATTCAGGATGCGGAAAAATGATTTTATCAAGGAGAACATTTTCCTTAGAAAATGTTTTCCTATAAAAAAAACCTAGGTCAAATTTGTAAGACATATTATAGTAGGAGGAGCTCAATGTACCTTCTTAACGGATGTCACTTGAGTTATTATTCAGGTAAAAGTAAAAGGATGCAAGAATGTTTACTGTTCTATTTAGTTTTTGGCTTATGATGCATAGAAAGGCTCGGATAAGATATAAGTTAAGAATGAGTTTTGATTACTGCATATGTATGAACTTCCATTTTCCCTGTAATAAGTGTAGGTGGATTTGGTCACAGAGACCGACAAGGCATGTGAAGATTCTCATATTCAATCATCTCAAGCAACATTTTCCAAATCACAAGGTTAACTTCCACGGCTAGTGCTTTAAATTATATCGGTTGGTTGACTATATGCAATTGTTCTGTTTCTCATTGTTTGCTGTAATTTCCTTTGCCTTTAGTTCATAGGTGAAGAAACAACTGCTGCTTGTGGAGATTTTGAGCTAACCGATGAACCAACTTGGATAGTTGATCCTGTTGATGGAACAACTAATTTTGTGCATGGGTAAGCATAAATTTCTCGGTCCGTATATTCTGTGACAACCTATTTTTTATTGTTCGCTGAGCCACTCAAGCCATTTGTTGACACAATGTGATTATTGTAGGTTCCCCTCTGTCTGTGTCTCAATTGGTCTCACAATTGGAAAGATTCCAACAGTTGGCGTTGTTTACGACCCAATTATCGACGAGGTGAGAAATCTAGTGATCCCAAACAGTGAAGGAATTATGATCTCTACAAAGGGTTGAGGTCTTTTTTTTTGGGGGGTGGGGGGTGGGGGTGGGGTTTAGTTGGCTGATTGAATGTAATAAAGAGATTGGCTTTTGACATGTAGCTTTTCACTGGAATCCACGGGAAAGGTGCATTTCTCAATGGGAAGCCTATCAAAGGTATGTTGTGTATCTGTTACTGCATTGTATTTATACTCTATTGATCTCTAACTAGTTTTCTGGAATGTTTTAATATGTACAGTATCTTCAAAATCCGAACTTGTAAAGTCCCTCCTTGGCACAGAGGTAATCAACCATTTCTATTTTTGCTTTATAATTGGATCTCCGCAGGAATCCTTTAGTGCATGAATGGCAATGAAACAGAACCTTCTTCCGCAGTTTGACTGTTCTGTTGTAACTATGGATAATATGAACATAAAAATTGGATAATTGTTTCAAGAATACTATCTAACTCCAACTATGTCTGGTTAGGGCTAGGTTTCCATACACTCGGAAGTGGCATATAATTGGTGAATTAGGCATCCTGATTCCCATTTTAATAAAAGTGAAGGAACTTTATCAATATTTTTATTAACCGATGTGCTAGTAATATTTTTAGAATAACTTCAAATCATTTTAACTGCAATCAAGTCAGTGGTTCCGGTTTCTACGAAAATGTGACTGACCAGAAAAAAACTAGCAAAAGAACTGGCTATAGAACCTGCTTATCTTGTACTTGGAATTATGAAACATGTCTGTGGAAAAGATACAATTCTTTGGTCCCCGAATCTCTATCGAAGACCGCTTAAAAGTCTCTTCTTCTGGCAAGTTTTCATATGGTTATAGTTTTTACAGAGAAGTTGGTCATATTTTGGTGATGTACACTATAGTTAGAGGCGGACCTAGGTGTAACCTTGAGGAGTCACAGGACCCCGTAAACTTCGGCAGAGACCTTGTATATGTATATGTGTATATCTCAAAAATGGTTAATTTGAATCACTTGGCACGTTGAACACTAAAAGTCTTTAGGTGGCACTGGTTGCCGAATACCGGTGCCTCCATTGCATTAAAATCATGGTTCCGCCTCTGAGCCTATAGTAGACCTTATCTGAATTTACATGTATAAATTGCTGATTCGCTGTTGCTATTTGCCTCTTTGATGTGCTTAAAACTCTCAAATTTTGTTTGACTGGAGCAGGTTGGAACAACACGGGATAACTTAACTGTAGAAGCTACAACAAAGAGAATCAATAACCTGCTTTTCAAGGTAGGCGTCCAAAGTTCAGTTAAGAAATGTCTTCGGACACAATTAAATTAGTTTGAATGTTATATTACAGGTTAGATCCCTCCGAATGTGTGGTTCATGTGCACTTGATCTCTGTTGGGTGGCATGTGGAAGGCTTGATCTCTTCTATTTAACTGGATTTGGAGGCCCTTGGTAAGACAATATCTTCAATCTCATTGCATAGGATATGTTGCTGATGTAATGCTTCTACTTACAGGGACGTGGCAGGTGGCGCCGTAATAGTGAAGGAAGCTGGAGGTGTCCTGTTTGATCCGTGAGTAACACACATTTCTCATTGAACTCTTTTCCTATAACAAAAATGAACAATATGAAGTTTCCATGATCATTTTGGGGCTGTTGATTGAAATTGTGTTTGATCGCAATTCGCAACTAGTCTTAAAATAAATATGCAATTGCTTAATTAATTTGGAGACTGTTGATTGGAACTTTTTGTTGGAACTGTATTGATTGTGATTAGGCAATTGCTTAATTGCAATCAGTCGGATTTGAGATAGTGTCACAAATTGGCGGATTATGAATTACTTCAGACAACATTTTATGATAAAATATATAAGGACTTGAAACGTTATACTCACACTCAGAGACCTTTAGTTTGTCTCTTATTTATTCTCTATGGGAACAGAACATAAGAAGGCATGGATTTTCTATCTCTTCTTACCTTGAAAATGAAGGTTTCTGGAATCATTATCAACAAAATGCGGCATCCGTTTTCCATATTGAGAAATACACCAGAATGCCGAATGTCTAATGGAAATAGTTTCAAATGTTTATCACACTACAAAATAGCCTCTGATGCTTTTTCTTTTTTCTGCATCAGATCTGGTTCAGACTTCGACATTACAGCCCAACGGGTAGCTGCTACAAACCCTCATCTCAAGGACGCATTTATTGAGGCGTTGCAGCAGTCAGTATGGGTATCGTTGGAAATGAACGAAGCTCCTGTATAACCAGTTAAGTTCTTTCATTATTAAACCTGGTAAAGCTATTCTTTTGGTCTTACTCCATCTTCAGGATGTGTGAGCATATTAGGCCAAGAAAATTCACTTATTATCCTGCATTAGTAGTTTCTCTTAAGCATGCAAGTCAGCTTTATGATTAAGAGAGGAGACCGGATATTGCTACTGCAACTGATTTTCGTTTAGTCAGCTACTGTTATCTTGTTATAAAAAAGGGTAGCCCGGTGCACTAAGCTCCCGCTATGCGTGGGGTCCGGGAAAGGACCGGACCACAACGGTCTATTGTACGCAGCCTTGCCTTCCATTTCTGCAAGAGGCTATTTTCACGGCTCGAACCCTTGACCTCCTGGTCACATGGCAACAACTTTACAAGATATGCCAAGGCTCCCTTTCTACTGTTATCTTGTTATATGGCGCAAAGAACTTTCTGTAAAGCTCTTGTATGACCTTCAAATTAAAAATGTCATTTTGTTTCTTTCTTTCTTTGTTGATAGGAGAAGAAGCTAATAACGGGTTAATGCTCTGCGATAAATTTGGTAGAGAGATTCGGACTAACTGAAAGCCAACCATTATTTCTCAATTCTATCGGGGTAGGGGTAAGGTCTGCGTACACATTACCCTCCCAGACCCCACTTTGTGAGATTTTACTAGGGGTGTGCATTCGATTTATCGATTCGATTTTGACCCTTATCGATTATCGATTTGTACATATGCTTATCATTATCGTTTCAATAAGGTTTCGATTTTTTCGATTTTGATTTATCGATTTTGGGGGCTTATCGATTCGGTTATCGATTACACCAATAAGAAAATTTGCAGGATTCCACGGAAAGTATATCACTATAAACGTGCCTAACTAATATGGACAAAAAGAAACTAAAATAAGACGAACACCATTTATAATATAAAAATTGTGTCAACAAGCACATGCAACAAAACTAAAGTAAGGGATCAAATGTATGCCACCAACACTCCAACGGTATAAAAAAAACAAAACAAAACAAAATACATCATAACGGCTAATTCTGTTTTCCATTAATTTGAACTTCATTCCCTTGATCTTTAAATATGATCATTCCTTAAATGTGGTAGAGGAAATAATAGGGTAAGGGACTTAGGGTAAAGGAAAGGGTATAGATTAGGGAAAATAATATTGTATAGCCGCTGTCAAAATAGTAGCGGAATATATATACATTCTGTATGTTATATTAATCTACACAAATAGGTAATTACTCATTTAACAAGTGTCTACAGTCTAGGGGTGTGCATTCGATTTATCGATTCGATTTTGACCCTTATCGATAATTACTTATCCATTATCGATTTGTACATATGCTTATCGTTATCGTTTCAATAAGGTTTCGATTTCGATTTCGATAACAAATAATCGATTCGATTTATCGATAAACCGATTCGAATGCATACCCCTAGATTTTACTGGGTAGTTGTTGTTGTATCAGAAAACACTGCAATGAATAGAGCTTAACTGAAAAAAGAAGAAAACATATATAGTGGAGGATAAACTTATCTCGCTGAATTGATAATGCACTAAATTCTTGACAGTATTTGGACCTTATTCATGTACTTACCCTCGCTATTTGCAGAAATTATGGTTTTTGTTGGAATAATTATGCACATAAGTACTTACTTTGTCAATTTCCAATTCTGCTAATAATATGGTTATCCTCTTTCTTTTTTCTTTTTTGTAAAATGCAGCTAATAATAATGTTGGATTTTTTTTCCTGGTCGAGACCCTCATTTTACACCAGGAAGATGCTGTATATAGGACTACTTTATACTGAATAAATATAATCCTTCCATGGTTGTAGCAGTGACCCTAAGATGAGTTACACTGTTTAATTCTATGGTGCTCGAATTCTTCAAAAATATAACAGCACCCATGTCGGATCCTCCAAAATACCTATGGTTCCATGCTAATATTCTTTTTTTCTTTTTTTGGTTTTTCACCCAGTGTACGATACCCGTTCTCGGCTCGACTAATTTAGATTCGTACTGCATAAGGCATATTAAAGGTGGAAACGCTCCTTACTAAGATTTTCTATACCGAGAGATTGAATCCATAACCTCTGGTTAAGAGCGGAGGGATCCTGTCCAGAGGTCGCGGATTCCAATGATCCTATTCAAGTCTCAAATTTTGCTTGTGTTTTAATTTTCTGAAAAAACTATCTAGCTTACGATGATCCAATATTAACAAAGAAAAATTTGGCTATTGGAAGCCTTAAAAGAGGAAATTTCACTTTGAGGGGTAAATCGCTCATCAAAGACAATTTCATACCCAAGCGTCGAGTATGAGATGTCTAGTTAAGGATAAAAGAGCACTTAATACTCTATCACAACCTTTGGTGATCTGTTTAAAAAGTTTATCTCATACAACTGACATTAGTTGTATGAGGCATCTTTTTGTCTCACAGTTTTGTGGACCCAGATTTTTGTGGACCCATGAGTGTAAGATTGGGGTCCACAAATTTGTGAGACAAAAAGGAGCCTCACACAACTAATGTAAGTTGAGTGAGACACACAATAAAACTTCTCTGATTATCTTTTTACGAAGACCACTTCAAAAATGACAACAACAACACTAAACCCAGTGCAATCTCACACAGTGGGGTCTAGGGAGGGTAGTGTATACGCAATCCTTACTCCTACCTTATGAAAGAAGAAAGTTGTTTTGCGATAGACCCTCGGCTCAAGAACAGTGAAAAAGACGCAATAAACAAACAATAACAATGGCAAAGAAATAAGATAACAGAAACAAAACCACTTCAAAACTGATGATATGGTTATCGTATAGACTTCAACCCAGGGGACAAAGTAAATGTAATTATCATAGTTGTTGCACTAATCTCCAAATACTCCCATCCTTAGTGCTTATATTATTGCCAATGATCAAATATTAAAAATTTCTAGTACACAATAAACGCGTGTGACATGTCACTATCATGTGATTACAAGTATGTTTGACAAAATAATATTGGCCGTACCCTAATTAACATAATTTTCATGTAATAGGGTACTAAACAGGACAAACATAATTTTTTTAATTAACAATAGAAAATCGTGATTGGGTTCGTAAACAACTCAGCCATGTTGCATTTAATAGAACAAATCACAAAGCAGAAAGCTTAAGGCCATTGTTTCTAAATATTGGCATTATGCAGTGGTTCTAACTTCATATGATTAAAAAATTGAGTTTTTTTTTTCTTTCATTATACGCCAAGAGAATTTAGCAGGTATATTATTTAATTTGATTCTCAAGTCCAATAAGCCAAAAGTAACAACGGGTAAGGAAGAATTATTTTTTGCTAAAAGTGGTCTTTTTATTTCTATTTGAAACTCATCTTATCAACAAGGGATTTTGGTGTGTGTGTGGTGGGGGGTGGGGTTGAGATTCCTCAACTCTTAATCAAATATTTCGATTTTAAGTATTTTTGAAAATATTTTTAATATGAAGTGTTTTCTCTTTAATGTACTACAGTACGAATCTGAATTAATGGGCCAGTAAGTTCTCAACCAAAATGTATAAAGAGGATGAAACGCACCTAAATTACAAGAGGGATGTAGTGGGTAAATAACGGGTTCAATTGAACTCATAACTTTCGATACAGAGTAAAAATTTGTTAAAATTGATAAAATAATATGAACCGATAAATATAAAATATAATGTGCTCAATGCTAAAATCCTAAAAACTAAACTCATAAAATTTAAATCCTAAATTCGCATCTGGGTAAAACACAGGAATTTGGAATATTTAATTTGGTGCATCCCATCATTAGACTCTACCAACTGGATATGCCATTTCTAAAGTGTTAGGAGATATTCTTTGCCTTTACGCATGCAACTCACCTTAATAAGTAACAACATCAATATTTAATGAAAGAAGGAATGGCAACTGGCAAAAAAGGCTAGCCTTTTAGCTAGGGGTTCATCGAACTCAGAACTTTTGATATGCAATATATATATATATATACTCAACAAATATTAGATCTAAACCAATATCTTTAACAGTATAATAAGTTCGGTTGAAGATTGAACCTATTAAATTTAAATCCTAAATCCGCTTCTAACTAACAAGTTCAGGAAGTTCTAGATTCACAAATGACGGATAATAGGTTAATTATTTAGGATGATTTTATTATATATATACTAGCGCAATTTAAACCTAAAGTAATAAGTGCAATTGAACCTATAAGAATTCGCTCTATTCGCCTCTATTTTTACAATATAACGAAAGTAAGAGATAGACACATAATTTTAAGTTAATGTGCGAAAAATATCACCGTAGCTAATACTTAATTTATAATAATGTTATGAATTAATCTAATATATATTCTTAAAAATATCTGTTTATAATCCAATATCTTGCACATCTACCCCTAGCTATATAAGCATGAACTGGCACTTTCATTCCTTGTTTTTGCTCCTCAGACAATGTTGTCTCCTTATCCGACTCTATTATTAATAATAATATTCGTTCATGAATATGAATCTAATATTCTAAATGGCATTATTTATTTCGACAAAAGCAGTGAAAGATACATTGTGCCTCTCTTTATTATCCCAACTTTAAGATCGCAAATTATGAAATTTCCAGGAAATATCATCCAAGAAAAGGGAGACTATGGCTGAATACGAAACATGAATGAGAACGAAATACGCTATCTTGCAACCGCCCCCTAGTCGTAAGAAAAGCAGTGGCGAAGCTAGAAATTTCTCTAAGGTGTTCAGACTTGAAAGAAGTTAAAAAAAATTTCGACAAAGGGTGTTCAATATATGTTATATACATCTAAACTCATTATTTTACTAATATACACAATGTAATTTTCATAATATTTCGACGAATGGTGGTCAATTGACAACCTTTAGCAAAAGGTGGCTTCGTCCCTGACCCCCACTATGTGGGATTTAAGTTTTACGGTTCAAACCCATTATATTTTTAAGTTGTGGGTTCATATCTACATACACACTACTCTTCCCTGACCCCCACTATGTGGGATTACACAAGAGTGTGTTGTTGTTGTTGCTATTGCTGGGTTCATATCTATTATTTCTTGCAATTTTAGTATATTTATATATATATATATATATTTACACTCCATGTTGAAAATACTGAAATCTGATGAACCCAATGGTTTGAAGTTGCATTTGTCCCTCCTCGAACCGTACCTATATATGCATGCATTATGAGGTCTAATAGCATAACCACAGCCTCCTAAAATGTCCACCAAAAGTGCGAGGTAAATTATGAAACTCTTTATGATATGATAGATATGTGAACTTTTATGTAGTCGAACAATCTCATCTATGTATATATTTTAACATATTAAGTCATGTTTACATGATCTTGATTGATAGAAAATATGTCGAATTTCTCATTCTTTCCGTTATATATATACCAAAAAACTTTTGACCTGAGATTAATGCAATAAATTCCTTCTTTCGCCTTCTCTTTCGATGTTCGCC